CTGTCCACGGGAGGCGGCCACAGCCTGCCCCAGCCCAGCCAGGTGGCTGAGCGCCTGGTCCTTGCTGCCCTGAGAGTCCCCGCCAGCCTTCTCCCAGCCACAGGCAGATGTTCAGGGTGAAGTTCTAGAAGCAAAACGAACGGCTGTCCTTTGAGCAAAGGCAGATGCTCACTGGACTCATAATGACTGAGCAGGGAAAAGGCTGGGCCGCACAGCATCTCCAGGCGCCGCACCCAATGTCCTGCTCTGGCCCCGCTGCCAAGTGGCTGGCGCCTTCCTGACCTCACGTTCCCCAGGAACCAAGTCCCCCGGTTAGCCTTCCCCTGCCACTGGCTACTGACCAGCGTCCCTGCCCACATGTGGTCAGTGACACCACGTTTGCTGGCAGCCTCTCGCCTGAGACAGGTGCTGGGTCCCTTTCCAGGGCCAGGGAGGGCACCCCCCTCCACATGGCCCTGCACTGCTCCCTCGCCCTGAGCACTGCACCCGCATCTCTGGTGGTGCAGCCTCGAGACAGGTTTCAGGGACTGGCAGAGCATTGCTGAGCACAAAGCAGCACTTCATAAATGATGGCCCTGCCAGCGAACGGATGCTGGACTCCCAGAAAGCAGCTGAAGGCACAAGCAGGTGTAGCTCCATGTTAGGGCACCCTGGGCCGACACCCTCTGTCCCCGGACTTGAGCAGGCGGGTGTGTCCCCTCCTCCTCCCCTCCTCCTCCCCTCGCCCCCCACTCCCTTCTCTGCCACTGCCAATGACTGGTTTCCCCTGACTTGTGCATCTGCGCGCTGTCAGCAGCAGGGAGCAGGCTTCTAGAAAACAGCAGAACCCTGCCTGCTCTGCCCCAGGGATGAGTGTTGGTGTTTGCTGTTCAGCATGTGGGGCTTGGGGTAAGAAAAGGGGAATGGCAGGGCCTGATGGAACCCAAAGTTCAGAGACAACTTCTGTCTGTTAATTAATTTCTGGGACTTGCAGAGGATATTTTTTCCTAGTTTGGTGTGGTTTTTTGTCGTTGTTTGTTTGTTTGTTTTGTTTTGCCACCGAGAGACTTGTGTCTTCTGTAGGCTGTTGTTGGTTTGCTGCCTCACTCACACACAGTGCGGCCCCGTCTGACATGGGTGCTGGCACTCCGAAGCTTCTGCTTCCTGAGGGGAGGGGAACCCTGTGTCACCCGTGGGTTTGCCACTCAGAGTCAGCGTGACACCTGGACAGAGCTTCCTGTGACCCTGCGGCCAGACTGTTTCCTGCGCACTTACCTGTGGCCTGGAAAAGCAGGTGTGCAGTGCAGAGGATTGATAAGGGCCACATGAGGCCCGCAGTAGGACTTCGTCTGAATCGAGCAGTATATGACAATTTGCAACATCTTATTTTCATTTTCTAATAAAATTAAATAGCATTCTTCTTTACTTCTATGTAGAAATAAAATATAATAACAATAGTTTAATACACTGTGTATCATGATCTCACAAGAATGGCCAAAATGTTACTCAGTGTAAGTCACAGACACAAAACAATTCTCTCTCTTACAAAGAAGAAATAGTGAAAGGGTAAAACTTTATCATCAGCGAAAGAAAGAAACTCATAGTATAAGTGAAACAGGCTGGCGTGTTATCGTAAGACAGTTTTAAAGCCACAGAGTAGATGCGCACGATCAGCCTGTGATAGAAAGGAGGTGACTTATTGCCCGTTACAGAGAATCGGGACTGCAGCTAGGAAGCCAAGCGCAGGCCCAGGGTGCGCGTGTAGCGACTGGAGAAGCCGCCCCAGGAGCCTTTGCACAGCTCCAGGAGAAGCAGAGGCCTTGGCTTGGGCCCCGCTGCTGCGCGGGCAGAGGCAGGTCTGTGAGTGAAGTGCCCAAAAAAGGCCAACCAAGTGTGTTCTTATGGAGAGACAGACCTGAAAGCGGGCAGAGGGGTGGACATGGCCAGCTCTGCCCCTTACTAGGACGTGCAGAGAGGGTGCAGCATGCACATCCAGGGACCCTGTGACAGCAGGGTCTATTTGGACTATGCAGGGGTGTCTGAGCCCTCATCAGTCAGTGCGGCCTCGTCCGGAAGTCGGGTGGGGAGGGGCTGTGCTTGGGCTCTGGGCACATGGGGTGGGACCTGGACCCTCGGCTGCACTGAAGACCTCTGAGCCAGCCCCATGCCCAGGGCAGAACACACCCTCCACCCGTGGCCAGAGTTCCTGCTGAAGGAGGGGAGCTCACCTGTACCCTAATAGCCCTCTGGTCTCCAAAGTCTTTCCTACAGGGTGGCTGCGGTCCTCCTTGGGGACAGGAGCACTTTGACTGCAAGTTATCCCTAACCCTGAGAGCGCTAGCAAAACTCAAGAGTTTTAATATGAATTTTATTTTTATTGGTACAAGTTTTTGGTCCATAGTGACTGTAAGGTTTGCCTGGAGCATGAGTGAAACCCCCGAGGCAGACAAAATCTGAGCAACATATGATGAGTTTATTACCATTTAGGTGCAGATGGGCCAAGGGCGGCAAGACCGCTGGCTTAGGAAGGAATGTGTGCAGTTCATAAAGGGAAGTTTAGGTAGGGGAGGGGCGTCAGCTCAAGGGGGAAAATTCTGGAGTCTCCTGGGTGGTGGGCCTGAGGCTGGAGAACAGGGCAGGGCGCAGGGGCAGGGCGATCGCAGGTACAGCAAAGTACAGCTGTGCCTTGTGGTTTTTCGCAGAATTGGCCTCCTCGCAGGTGCGAGTGAGCGAGGCTGTACCGGCTTCCGTCCTCGCTCTTCTTGTAGGCAATGTGTCTGTTGGGGTTTTTCTGTCTCAGTTGGGTCGGGTCTAGCTGGGGGGCCGTCAGTGACACATTCCTCTTCCTCTTGGGGCGTGGGTGCAAGAACATAACACAATTCAGGCCCTTGGCATGGATTCTGTGGACCATGTGTTTATTTCTGTAAATAAGAGTGGGTTTCATTCTTAGGCTGTCTCAGAGTAGTTGTGCCTTGTCCAGTTGCCTCAGCCTGGGGCTAAGAGCTATGTTTTCCTGTTGTGTGGTCTTGTTCTGTGGTTCTGGGAGTTGGGCCCAGGGCACTTCACCACTGGACTCTGTTACCAGCCCTTTCACTTTTTTTTTGTTGCCCAAGCTGCCCTCCAACTTGGGATTCTCCTGACTCAGCCTCTTGAGCTACTGGGATTATAGGTGTGTGCCAACTCCTTGTCCTAATCTACCACACTCTCTCACAGCCAGTGGCCAGATGGGTGGACACGGCGAGGTCTCTGTCCCTGGGTCCCCCCTCCTGAGGGAAGGCAGCATTGTCCTTGAGCCGAGCTGCAGACAGTGAAGATAAAGGGGGTGTTTCTGCCTGGAGCCATCCTCTGGTCTGGGCAGTGACACCCTGGAGCTGCCAGCTTGTGCTGGCCATGGTAGCGCTGTGAATGTGTGGAGGAGACGGCCTCCTTTTCCACAGTTGGAGTCAGGGGTGCAGAGCGCAGAGCCGTTCATCCTGACCCAGGCAGGGAGACGAGGACAGAGCCTCTCCCGCCAGCCGCAGGGCTTCTCAGGGTGACTGTGGTCACCCAGCAGCTCAGCAGCTCCTGGGTGTCCCCAGCACCCCTCCCGGGGGTTCCCCCAGGCACTGCCAGGCAGTGGTGCTACTGCTGGGCCAGGCCTCAGCCTGGGGCTGGGGTGTCACCAGATGCCACCTGGGGGGCCCTCCAGGTGCTGGCCCAGGGCCTCGGAGTTGGGGGCTCTGGACATGAGGAGAGACGTGGAGCAGACCTGGCCCCGCCTCCCAGCACAGCTGCTCCTCCCCCAACAGCTCCACTCCCTGGCTGCCTCTGTGTGTCCTGATCCCCGCGCCTGTGTGGTAGACGCAGAGCAGACCCGGGGGAGATGGAATTACCCCAACCTCTGCACGGTGAGGGCCAGCCGGGTCAGCCAGGGGTCCAGGGAAGGGCCCAAGAGGAGGCCTGTGGTTTCAGGCCAGAGAGTTAACACCCCTGGGCACTGGTCCTTGCCAGGCAGGCTTGGTGGGGTTTCACACAGAGAACACAGCGTCCTTTTCCCAGAGTGACTCGTGTCCATTTTGACATATGTGCTCTTTGTGAACTCCATTTTGTAAGTTTATAAAGAAGCAGGCTCAGGGAGGTTAAGTAACCTCATTTCCCCTTCTGTGAAATCCCGGTTTGCAATGCCTGCTTACAATGCCGTTGTGCTCAGCAGAAGCAGTGGTGAGACCGTGGGAGAGCCTGGGAGTCGGCAGATCTCCTTTCGCATCCTAGAATTCTGCAGACCCTGCTCCCGGGTAGGGAAGGCTGGCGTCCTAGGAGAACACCTGCTCCCTGGCAGCCGGGGCCTGGAGCTCTGAGGAAGGACGGAGACTCGTTCCTGCCCATGTCCCAGGACCTGGGACCAGGGCACAGCCCACCAGCAGTGCTGAGACGCACCACAGATAGCAGCGCTGCGGTGTGGCCAGAGCCACCGTCTGTCCCTGTGGACCTCGCTCCCGGCCGAGAGAAGGCTGCAGTGTGCCGTGGACACTAAGCCAGCCCAGTTCAGAGGAAGCCACGCACAGAGAGCAGCCAGCCTCAGGGTGGCTCTTCCAGTGGGCTTCGGCTCCTCCCCGGGTCACGCCTCCTCCCTCTGGTGTGAGGGCCAGTCGGGGACCACAGCGGGAATGTGGGGATCCGACCTCTGGAGGGGGCGAGCCTGTCAGCTGCCACACTGGGTCCCACTGGCTGGGGTGCAGGAATGGATGAGGTGAGGGTGGACAGCGGGCTTGGACTCCGGCTTCGTCCCAGATGCCCTGACGGCTGTGGGCAAAGCAGTTGACAGTCCTGGCTGCCGTCCGTCTCTGTGGGATGGGGTAAGAAAGTCTGTGCCCAGTCGTGAGAATGAAGTAAGTTAGTGCGGGTTACACCCGGGTCAGGGCCACACAGTACTGAAACTGCCCGGCAGTGGGTGCTGTCGTGCACCACTCTGCCATGCTTGCTGCCTGTGCCGCTGTTCCCTTGGCTCCTTCTTTTAAGACTGCGTTTTCTGTGCTCCACAGGGCAGCAGGTCCTGGGCCTGGTGGAGAACCAGAGCGACTGGTACCTCGGGAACCTGTGGAAGAACCACCGCCCGTGGCCGGCCCTGGGACGGGGCTACAACACAGGTAACGGAGGTGCTGTGGGCAGGAGCAGTCGCTTTGGGCCACGGGAGGCTGAGGCCTTCCCTGGGCGAGCAGGCGATAAACAGGCGGACCCCGGTTCCTTTCCCAGCGCTGTGGCCGTGGGTGACGAGCATTCGGGCAGTTAGGGCAGAGTACAGGTGGCTCTGCACTAGCAAAGCAGCTGCAGCATTTCTGCTTCCTGGTGCAGCAGCTGCTCCTCTCAGCCCCGGTCCTGTGTGCCGTGGGCTGGGCTGGGTCTGGCTTCTCTCGCCCTGGGGCTCCCTGTGCAGTGGGACACAGCAGAGTTCGTACAAGCGATTCAGCCTCAGCCCCTTCCTTCTTCACTGGCTAGATCATGTCACGTGACTTCCACCCCCCAAAACGTGGGCACGGGCACCCTGCCAGGCACCTGGCCAGAGAAGGGCAGACACCGCAGCCCTCGATGCCACGTGCCTCGAGCCAGACCCTGTGTTGCGTGAGCCTTGCTGTGAGCCCCTTCCCTTCCATTTCCGTCACTGTTCTCCAACCACTCTCTGCAGCAGCTGTCTGGTGGCCCCGCTGCAGGGTCCCCGACCCATGAGTGACTGAGCACTGAAACGGGGCGACCTGTACCCTCCCCAGCCTGCGTCCCTGCCTGTCTGTCTGTCAAGGCCTCTGAATCCTCCCCTCTCCCTGCCCCAGCCTCGTTGCCGCGGCCTGGGAACCCTGTTCTCCAGGGGAGCAGATGCGGGGTCTTTATCAGGATTCACACCTGGAGCCCAGGCGGGAAGGCAGGAGCCTGGTGGCCGCAAGTGTGCCAAGTGGGGCCGGCGCCCAGGGCTGCTGTGAAAGGTGCTCCTGCCGCTCTGGTGAGAAGAGCACAGAAGCCGAGGCAGGAGCACAGCAGCCCGAGCCAGCGGAAGGAGCGGGCTCAGAGGGGGCTGGGCACTGGCAGAGGCCAGGGGAAGACCAGCGCTGCTCTGTGCCCAGAGTGGCAGCCGGAGCCCTGGGTGGACACCGGGCCACCCTGCTGTCCCACGGGGCCCTGGAGTGGCCAGTGGGGCCCAGGCTGGCAGGGAGGGCAGCAGGGCAGCGCTTTACTCAGGGTCAGTGTCAGGGCATCGCCCTGCATCCCGCAAGTGTCCCCCGGCACTGCGCCACGTGCTGCGCAACGTTCACCTCTCGTGATCCTCGCGAGCCCAAGAGGGAAGCAGGTGCCATGTCCTCCCCTTAAATCAGTGGCACCAACACCCCAGAGCCGGCAGCGGCAGCCCAGGAGGAAGACGCCTGCGTGATACCCGCCCCGCCCCGAACTCTCACAGCTTCCCGTTCAAGCCTTTGGAAAAGGAGCCTGTACACTGCAGGGCCCGGGGGTCGGTGCTGATCTGGAGCGGAATCTCCTGGGACTGAGCTGGGAACAAGGCACATGCCCGGCAAGGTTGCCCCGAGCTGTCCTCCCAGGGCACAAGGCTGGACCCGGGAGCCCTCAGCAGCCAGTGTGGGTGGCAAGCGAGTGACCCACGCTTGTGAGGGGAGGCAGTCTCCGCGAGACGCTGCTGTGTGCGTCCAGCTCCCGCCTCAGAGTGCAGAGCAGCGGAAAGTCACCCAGATCCGCACAGTGCCAGCCTCATAGTCCTCAGCCCGGCATGCGGAGAGTGGAACTTTGTGGTGAGAACAGTGCTGCCCCCTTTGCTGCAGAACCTGGGGACCCCTCCCAGAGCTGTCACTCCAGCACCAGCTCTGAGCGACCCTTGCCTCACTGGTGCTGCAGGCAGCCTTGCGGAAGAGGCCTGGACAAGGGAGTGTCCACTTAGACAAGCCGAGAGTGTCATGCCACGGAGGCCAGGTGTCGCCCGACCCTCAGATGCCAGTGGGAACTGAGGACCCTGCTGGGACCCCCGAAAGGCTCTTTCCACACAGACCCCTCTGAGCCTCGCTGCAAGCTGGGATCACTCCGACCGGACCCTGGGGCAAGAGCAGCAGCCCTGGCCACATGGGGTTGCCACCCTGAAGCGTGGCTCTGCCCCTCGTAGGCTGAAGATACCCCGTGTGGGGATGAGCAGTCAGCAAGACGCCTCGCCTGGTGTCTGGCAGACTTGGTCCTGCACCCATCCTGGCCTGGGCCTCTGCATTTTTATACCCCTAACTCTATCAGGGGGCAGGGCCCTCATGAAACGGTGTGTGCGTAGTTGACCGAGGTTTGCTAAGGCCACCCCGGGTCAGAAAGATCCGGGAAGCTTTTCCTCTTACCCGTATTAGTGCGGCCCTCTTTCTGCCATCTGCACAAATGCTACTGTTCTGCGTCACTTTAGGGAAAGCTGCCTCTCAGCTTCCCAGCTGTGTTCTACCTTGAGAACTCCCGCGGAGCGTCAGCTGTCCAAGTGGGGAACCCACCTGCCTTGGAGCCCTGACTGTGGTTCTAGACGCTGCCTGTCGGAAGCCTCCTGGTCTGCAAAGCTGTGGCCTGCGGGCTGTGTGGACTATGCGCACCAGCAAGAGCACGTTAGAGCTGGCTGTAGCTTATTACTCTTCCGGCTCTGCGGCCAGCAGGGATCCCAGACCCAGCACTTTCACACAAGCCCTGCTAAGCTCCCAAGTCTCACCACCCATGCTCTTCCGGCATTGACTTGTGAAGCAGCCATTTCCCTCGAAAGATCCAGTGAGGCTCCCACTTTCTCTCCTTTGCTTCTCGTTACCAGTCTGCTTGCATAAGCCGAGGTCCCCGGAAGAGTCCAGCAGAGGTCTGCCCACTCTCTCTCCCTCCTCCCAGGAGCTGCTCATAGCTTCCACTCACCTTCGCAGAGCTGCAGGTGGCACACAGCTCTCTGTGACCTTGGGTGGCCTTTAGGGCACCCTTCCTGCTGACCAGAGGCTTCCACTCCCAGCCAGGGCCCATGCGCCACCTGCCTGGTGCCAGGCGCTGTCACTCGCCCAGCACCCAGCCGCCAGCAGGACTTAGAGCAGCATGGTGTGTTGGAGGCTCAGCTCGCCTCCCTGCGTGAGCCGATGGGGAGATCCGGAAAGACAGACACGGCAAAGGGGAGGAGAGGTGGGTGGGTGAGTGAGGGACGGTGGCCAGGGAGAACACAGGGCCCCCGGCTGCCCGAGGACAAGCTGTGTCCTCCCGAGAAGGTGGCATCACCGAGTTGACGAATGTGCTTTACAGACAACTTACAAATAAAATGTGTCCTGCTCCTCTGAGACCCCAAATGAGGCCAGAGATGGGCAGGGAGCCAGGCTCTCTCTGGAGGGGAAGACTCTCCAGGAACCCAGGACAGCAGCATGAAGCCGTCCCAGGGCTGGCTTCCCTCTGCCATGGGGACAGACTGCCAAGAAGGGCAGAGACGGGTGGGTGGCGTCGCACAGGACGGCCAGCCCGTGAGGGATGGACCGCGGACAGCCTGCCAGAGTACCACGAGGCGAGCCCTGGAGAGAGGTGCAGAGGGTGGGGAGCGGCTGCATCCTGAGGTCCTGGGCCCCTCCTTCCCCTGAGCCAGTCCTCTCTGGTAAGGGCGGAGGTCCCCTCATGCCCAAGAGATTGCAGTGGCTCTGTTAACAGTAGCATCCGACAGACGGGATTTAAGTGCAGTGTGTTCATCCATTCATAATGTCGCTGCTTATTTAACACGTGCCACTAAAAGGCTGTTCTTCTGACAAGGTTGGGGCAGGACAAGATTTTACTTTAGATGATGGATACCAGGAACCTTCCCTGGAGAAGATGATGGCCTGGCAGAGAAGTTTGTGCTCGTTCCGGAGGAAATTCCATGGCCTCAAGCGGCTGTGACCCAGCCCCTCTGCTGCTCCACAGCCCCAGGGACCGCAGCGCCCTGAGCAACACTCCCCAGGCAACTGTCACACTCATTTTCCCTTTGCATTTTCCATCATCCGGGGCAGGTAGGTTTTTGCTGATTTGACTGCTGCCTTTTGCGGCGGCCAGAAGTCCCCATCCCCAAACTGCCAGTGCCGGGCCTGTGCAGGTGCAGCACTGCGGACCTGAAGGTGCAGAGCCCGCCTGTGTGCTCACTCGGGCACGCTGCGCTGATGGGGACGCCCTCGCCTGCCCTCGCAGGCTTAGAAGAAGAGGGCATAGTGAGCCAGGCGCCTGTGGCCTTGAGGGGCACAGTCTAGGGATCTCGTGGCTGGGCTCCAAAGTGGGACCTGCGTTCTGCCAAAACCAGAAGGGCTGTGGAGGCATCTTTGAGCAGGAGCAGAGAACGGAGGAAGCAGACTTCTGAGCAGTGCAGCCCTGCAGTGGGGACACAGTGGGGACACAGTATGTGACAGCAGCAGTGAGGGGTGCAGCCCTGTCCTGCCCACATACACAGCTCCGTGAGGTCATGGGTCTTGCTGTTACTCCTAGGCCCCCATCTGGGACCCGGAAAGCTCTGGACCAGCTCCCTCACCCTGCCTGTCTCGTCTGGTGAGGGCCGGCTTTCTGCTCAGGGTGGCACCGTTCCCGCATCCTGCCTCTCTCTGAGGGTACCGATCTCATTCACAACGTTTCGCCTCTTGACCCTGTGATTTCCCAAAGCCCTGCTTCCTAATCACATCCCGGGGGTCAGCATTTCAGCTGTGACTGTCAGGGACTGCACACGTCCAGGCCTTCCCTGGGCCGGAAGCAGTGGCCCTCACAGCAGTGCCACGGACTCAGGTGACATCTCCCTTGGTCGTGCCCTTGCCCTTCCTCCTGGACAGTGTGGCACTGCCTGTCCTGGTGCGGCAGCTGCCACCTGCGGGCACGGTGCTGTACGGCATGTTTCTCGAGCTTTTCCATCGTGCCTCATGGAACCCCTATGCTCTGAGAAGCAGTTCCCCTGTCCCCCACCCACCTGCAGCTGCCCTGGTCTCCTCATCCAGCTTGACTGCTTTAAACTCCTCCTATAGGTGGGCTCCTGGGGGTTACTGCCGTATTCCCTCAGCATAAAGGACCCCTGCGCAAGGTTGTAGGTGGGGAAGGCAGTATGGAGCCCCCAGATTATAAAGCCCACTTCCGGGTGTACATGTTCAAAAGAGCTGAAAGCAGA